AGTGAGAAGATGTCCATAAAACACTTAGTCCAATGCCTGGCTTTTAGTATGGTTCACTGACTTCCAGAATCTCCCAGCAGAGCCAGACTAAACCCAGGTATTTACTCCCAGCCCAGTGCCTTTTCCTTTCTGCGGTGCTGGCACTGCCAGGGACTTCGCCGTCCAGGCCAGAGTCCACCCTGCAAGCAACGTCCCATGAGTCTCGGCTGTGGGAGCTGGCATTTGGCCCGGAGTGGCCTCGGAACATGAAGGACTCTTGGCCTGAGACTTGGCCAGAAGCTGTCACAGGGCCGAGGGAGCTGTGTGGCCTGAGATGAGGAATTGAGGGAGGCAGGGAAGGTGCAGGGTGAGGAGCTGCATTCCAGCAGCGCCGCCCTGCTGGACCCCATGGTCTGGGGTGTACCCCACCCTCAGCTTCTTCGGGTGTGAAATGAGAAATGGCAGTGGAGTGCACGCAGAATGGACAGTAGCCTGACGTCAGCGGTGTCCTCAGCCCTTGCAGGGCTGGTGTCCCCGCTCACCCCTGCTGGCTGGGGGTCGGGGTGGGAGGTGGAGGCAGAGTGAGGATGGGCAGGCTCTCGGGAACCTGATGTGGATGGGTTTCTCCTGCGGGGGCTCAGCGTCCTCATCTGTCAGTGAGGGTTCATTCTCCCCCCTTCAGTCAGTGTTCCAAGCCCCTGCTGCAGGCTGGGTGCTACTCTAGGCGCTGGGGGTACAACGGGGAACGGAACCGAGATCTTAGCCTGTGGAAGTTTGGTTCTAGTGTGGAGACAGGCGGTATGTGAGTGCAGGTGTAATGTCTGGTGGGGGGCAGGTTAAGAAGCCAGTCAGTCAGGGGTTGTGGGGGGAGCTGTTTGGGTAGAGTTGATAAAGCCTCTGGAAGGAGGTGGGAAATGAGTGAGGGGCGGAATGGGCAAGAGCACTGCGGGTGGGGTGGGGGGCAGCCAGCGCAGAGCCGGAGTGGAGGCTGGGATGGGCCTGGAGTGGGGGTGGAGGGGGCAGTGACAGTCAGAGCAGGGAAGGGCTCTGAGCCTCACGGGCCTCGGAGGTTTTAGCAGAAGCCCTGGGGCTGCCGCGTGGAAAACGGGCTGCACTGGGCAAAGGTGGCAGCAGGAAGCCCGAGCGCTCCAGAGTGGTGGCAGGGCTGGGGCAGGGGTCGGGGGAAGGATGGAGGGGGTGGGAGGGCATTGGACTCTGGGAGATTGTGGCTGGGAGTTGGCCAGGACTTAGTGGGGCACACCAGCAGCCCGGCTCATGGCTCTTCTGAGTTCCCCTGATGTGGCATGTGGCTGGAGCTCAGCCAGGGCCTGGCACTCGGGGGCCTCAGTGATGGGAGCTGCTGCTGCTGCTGGATTTTATCTTTCCCTTATGCAGAGATGGTGACTTGGAATTGTGACCCCCTACACATGAGGCTCAGGCCTGACATGATAGATGAACGTCAGGTGTAACATGAGGTGGTAGGGGGCGCTCTGAAGAAAACAGGTGACTTGGGACTTTCCCCTCCACCTTGGTGCTTGTTCTTTTTAACAGCTTTATTGAGATTATTCACGAGGTTGTGCAACCATCTCCACAGTCTTATTTTAGAAAATTTTCACAATCCCAAGAAGGAACCCCATACCCATTGGCAGTCAGCACCCCCTCCTCCACCTTCCCCCGCCAGCCCTGGGCAACCACTAATTTACTTTCTGTCTCTGTGGATTCGCCTGCTCTGGACATTTCACATATTCACAAGTGGAATTGTACACTATATGGCCTCTTTGTGACTGACTCCTTTCACTGAGCATGTTCTCCAGGCTCATCCATTCTAGCGTGGATCAATCCTCCATTCCTTTTTATTACCCAACAATATCCCACTGTCCGGATATGCCACGTTTTGTTTATCTGTCATGCGTTGATGGACATTTGAATTGTTTCCAGTTTTTGGCTGTTGTGCATAGTGCTGCTGTAACATTTGTGTGCACGTATTTGAGTATCTGTTTTCAGTTCTTCCGGGTACATACCTAGGAGTGGAATTGCTGGGTCATATGGCTGTTCTTTGTTTAACTTCTGAAGAACCAAATTTCTCCACATTCTTGTCAGTACTACCTGCTGTCGTCTGTCCTTTCCATTTTAGCCATCCTGGAGAGTGTGACGTGATGCCTTCTAGCTCTCATTGCTTGTTCTCTGATGAGTAGTGACATTGATGGTCTTTTTACGAGCTTATGCAGTCCTGATGTCTTAGAGGCTGGTCCAGGCCAAAGTGCTCTAAATGCATGGCCCTGGGCTGGGGGAGGGGTGGAGAGTTGAGGGATAATATTTTGGTGAGGTAGGTCTTGGTACTGGCTGTGTAGAAGGTTGGGCCAGAGCTTAGAGCCTCTTGCCACTATCTTGAGAGGAAACCCTCCCCCTGTTCCCAGAGGTTGGGTGGCCCCTGTTAGTGCTGCCACCCCTGTGCAGGTCCTTTACCTCTGAAGTATGGCCTGCTTGGCATCAGAGGTGAGCTCGCTGCTAAGCTTGGGTGTGGGGGGGTGGCAGGGTTTTGGGGCTCAGTGGGGCAGTGACCTCTGTCTTGTCCACCCTGCAGAAGAAGGACCCAGCCCAGTTCCTGCAGGTGCACGGTCGAGCTTGCAAGGTGCACCTGGATTCTGCGGTTGCCCTGGCTGCTGAGAGCCCCGTTAACATGTAAGACTGATTTTGGGGGTAAGGTGGTGTCTGTGGCTGAGGGGTGGGGGTCCAAAGGGACCTGGGGCATGAACAGACCTTTGGAGTCTCAGGCAGGGAAGGCTTGGCCTGCATGGGAAGGTGAAGATCACCAGCTGAGGAGAGCCGGCAGGGGTTGGGCCCAAGGCCTCCGGGTGTAGTGGTTGGAGGATTTCTGGGGAATGGGTGGGGTCAGGGCCAGAGGCTCAGATGCAGCAGAGAGTAGGTTGCCAGAGAGGGTGTTTTGGGGTGACTGGGGCTTAGCAAGTGGCCCTTGGACCTGGTTCAAGTTCCACACTCTTGCTTGGTTCTGAGAAATAACCTGTTCAGGTCTCGAGCCTGAATGTATGTTTCAGGGCAGAGGTTATGGCATAAAAGACTGAGAGGTGAAGGGTGAGGGTGTGGCTGGCATGGGGATCAGAGGCGCTGAGGGTTTGGCTCCCAAGCTTGAGGTGGCAGGGAATAGGCATTTTGTGTCCTGAACAGTGGGGACCCTAGGCTCCTTGCTCCCCCATTCCCCACTTCAGGATGCCCTGGCAGGGGGACACCAACAACATGATTGACCGCTTTGATGTCCGTGCCCACCTGGACCACATCCCTGACTACACCCCGCCACTGCTCACCACCATGTAAGCTGCCTGCCTCCGGGGTTGCCAGTAAGGGAGTCCGTCCTGGCAGCACCTCTTCTTTCTCGAGCCCTTGCCTGCCCGCCACCCTCTAGGGAAGGAAGGAGAAGTGCACGTGGGGAGGCCCTCCACCCCCCAGCCTGGGCCAGGCCCCTCGTCCCCACTCCTGCTGGCTTGGGGTGGGATCTCCCCTCTCCCTCTGATCTCAAGACCGTGACCTCCCCCAAAGCTCCCCAGAACAGGAGTCGGACGAGCGGAAATGTAACTACGAGCGTTACCGAGGCCTGGTGCAGAACGACTTTGCTGGCAGTGAGTGATCTGGGGTGTGGAGAGTGGGTTTGGGGGGGGTCCCTGGAGACTGAAAGACCTCAACAAGATTGGGAAGAGAAGGTATCCCAGGACTTTGTACTAAGGGGCCTTGGGTTTGGTTGAGCTCTGTCATGGACCCGCTCTGTCCACATCCCTTTCCCTTTTGGGGCCTCCATCTCTGGAATTGGTACAGGAGACATTTGCTGGACTAGAGGGTCCCACCAGGGTCACTGCCATATCCAGTGCCCCTTAATTCTGTGGTCTTATTTTCCTAAAAACTTGGACATTTTTTCCCCTTTTGTTTTCCCTGGCCTATACAGATCAGAATGTCAGCTCTGAAGAGGAAATTTCTCCTTGTTTTAAACAAATATTTAGACAGTGTTTGACAGTTTGCCCAGTGTTCATACAGTGTTTTTTCCCAAGCCATCACCATTGCTACTTCACAAATGAGAAAACTGGTTTAGAGAGACTTTTTCATACCCTGGGCTTGTCTGGGGAGATCCTGACCCTGACATACTTGGACTTTTTTGTCTCTGTTATCTCAGTGCATCTGCACAACCACCCAGCAAGGTGAGAGTGATACCCCATTTTACAGATGAGGATGTCAAGGCTCTGGGCTTGGGGGGACACTATGTTCAAGGAGTTGGAGTTCTCACTCTGCCCTTAACCACTGCTGCCTCTCACAGGAGAGCTCCAAACTTAGCACGTCTCCCAAGAAGGACTTTGAGATTCCTTCTCCTAGGGTTTCCCTGTGGAGTTAAGGGGAGGGTCACAGGAGTCCCCAGCCTGGCGGGTCTCGGTCTCCTCCTGGAGAAGGGTGGTAATGGTGGTGTCTGTCCCTCAAGGTGGTTGTGAGGGTTCAGTGAGGGGTGCATGAAGCCCCAGTACCAAGCCTGGCACAGGCAGCTCTCCCTGTGGGTTCACTGTTCCCGTATTTCTTTGTTTCTAAGATAGGCATTTTAGCATCTCTAAAATCAGGGTTTGAAAAAAATAAAAATTATAAATAAATAAAATCAGGGATTGTCAAATTCTAGCAATTAGTGAGGCCCGAGAATCAAGGAAATGCGTCATCGATGCAGTTGGTTTTGCCTTCCTTCAAGGCCACGCAGATTCTTGGTGATGGAGCCAGGGTTTCCCTTAGTTCTGTCTGATTCTGCATTCATTCCTTTATTCATTCCCACAATTCCTGAGCACCTGTGGTGTGTCAGGTGCTATTCTGGGATCAGGGGTCTAGTAGGGGAGAGGGCAGCAGCCACATAATCATGAGCGCGGGTGGTAATTACAAACCAAGGTGCTGTTACCACAACCGGTGTGCTGTTCTCGGCAGTGCTTGGCTGAGGCTGGGTCAGCGTGGGGGTGCGGGCAGGAGCTCCCCAGGGAGGAGAGGTGGGCCGCGAGGATAGCGCTGTGCGGGAAGGAGGCCTGTGTGGCTGGAGCTCACATGAGGTGGGCCGACAGGGCCCTCTGGGGCTTTGGACACGACCGCAGAACCGTGGAGGCTGCTGGAGGGGCCGTGCTGTGTCAGCTCCGGGCTTGCCCAGCCCACCCACCTCGCTTTCAGATAGAAAAGCTGAGGCCCATGGAGGGAAGGGGACTCGCCCAGGGTCCCACCTTGAGTCAGGCATGTGTTTCATGGCAGGAAGATCAGGAGAGGCTCTGGTACATTGCTGAGCTTGTCTAGTTGGGTGTTGTGAATGACTGAGAGCCCAGATTAACCACATTTAATTTAAACTGAGCCACAGGGCACACACTGGAGTGGCCCGTGGGTTCCAGGGTGCATTCAGCACTTGGGATTAATCACGCTGAAGGGACCAGCCAAAGGCTTCCCTAATTCATGCTAGAGGTAGCAGAGCCTAAGTTAAGTACCACGCACTATCTCTGCCAGGCACCCCATTTTACAGAAATAGAAACTGAGGCACAGAGTGGCTAAGTCCACCCGGATCATATGGCAAGTCAGTGGTATAGCTAGGGCCCTCCTGCAGCCGCTGTGTCTCCACCACACACAGTTTGTGATTTCCCGGGAATCCGTGACTCTGCCCCCAGCTATGCTTGGATGGAGCCACCCTCCCACCCCTAACTGCATCCTTGTGTTTCCCCCCGCATTCCCAGTGTCCCCAGCTCACTCTGACCATGTGCCTTTTGCCCCAGTCTCAGAGGAGCAGTGCCTATACCAGATCTACATTGACGAGCTATACGGAGGCCTCCAGAGACCCAGTGAGGACGAGAAGAAGAAGTAAGTTGGGCTCTGGGGCACTGTGTGTGGGGTTGAGGGAGGCAGGAGGACTGTGAGCCCCTCAGGGCGCTGCTCCGTCCATCCTGGAGCCCGGACTCCTGCCCCCAGCCGCAACCTCCCCACCTCCAGCCCCACGCTTGCTGCCTCCCTCCATCTGAAGAATGAGAGCGGAGCTCCTTGATGACTCTGGTCCTCAGTCGCGGCCCCATGTTCAGGGCGAGGCTGGCACTGGGAATGGCTCAGGGAATGTTGCCTGGAGTCAGCAGCAGATGTGCAGAGGGTTCTAGGCTGACGGACAGTGGGAGCAAGGGCTCTGTGCTGCCCTGGAACTCAAGAGGGCGGTGTCCAGGATGCTTGGTGTGGGGGCCCTCCTCTCCCCTGGGCGCTGCCCTGGCTCATAGCTCCCCTGTCCCAGGCTGGCAGAGAAGAAGGCTTCCATTGGCTACACCTATGAGGACAGCACAGTGGCCGAGGTGGAGAAGGTGGCTGAGAAGCCAGAGGAGGAGGAGTCACCAGCTGAGGAGGAGAGCAACTCGGATGAAGATGAGGTCATCCCCGACATCGGTGGGGTCCCCTCTCTGCCCTCCCCCCCTGCAGTCCCTGGGCATCGTTTTCGTGTCTCGTCCCTCACCCTCTGTGGTGCGCCCCGTGCTTATGAGCCCCATCTCTCTGGCCCCTGCTCCAGGGCACACCAGCCCCCTGCTGTCCTCCCATCTCATTCTTGTCCTCCTGGCCCCACCTCCCTCTCTGTATCTCTCTCCTTCCTCATTTCTAGGACACTGCTTTTATGACCCTGTCCCCACCTAGGTTCTAGCTCTGACCTCCTCTTCTCTGTCTCTCTTCTCTGGAAAACAAGTGTTCTTCCAGTTACAGAGCCTCACCCCGCATCCTGCTGCTCACCCCCATCTAAATCCCACTGGTCAGGCCGTCCACCATCCTTCTTCCTCCTCCATCCTGCTCTCACTCAGCCAGTCGGCTGTTGATTCAGACACATGTAAAGCACCCGTTCCCCTCCACTTCACCATCCTGCATCTGGCTCCTGAATACCTGTGACCACACCCCTGCCTCCCACACACCTGGATCTTCATCCACCCTCTGTCCGGCCCCATCCACTCCTCAGATCACTCCCTTCTCAGCCATCACATCACCTGCCCACCTCCCACCCCCACTGCCTGCCGTTTGTTGTGCTCGCCTCTGGCCGGGCCCTGTGCCAGCCAGGGGATGCTGAGATGAGCTGACTCGTTCTCTTCCTACAGAGGCCTCCAGTCTGGTGGGCACCTGCCACCCCCAGCTCTTGGGGCACCGCCCCTTCTCCCCTTCTTCTCACTCGACTTTGGTCCCTGACAGCCTTTCTCTTGGTGCAGACGTGGAGGTGGATGTGGACGAACTGAACCAGGAGCAGGTGGCAGATCTCAACAAACAGGCCACAACCTATGGCATGGCTGACGGCGACTTCGTCAGGTGAGGCCTGCTGGTTGACACCTCTCCCCACCCTGTAGACCTGGCATCTCTGTCATTATCCTTGTCTGAGCACTTTACACAAGTGCCAGGGTATTACACACACAGCCCCTAAGTTCATGGGGTGGGTACTTGGGGACTGGCTTCACCTGTGTAGAAACTGAGGCTGCCCCCAGCTGAGTGACCCCTGGAAGCTCCCGGCCTGGTGGACAGCGCCCTCTAGTGGAGAGGCTTCATTTTTTTTTCTGGATCATTAACTTGCAGTTGCTGGTTGAGCCTCTCTGCCTTGTGCCTTACCCAGTGCAGATCACATAGAGTGTTCCACCTAACAGCGCATTGAGTCCAAGTCTGAGTTCTTCCAAGTCTGAACCTCTGCCCAGAACCCTCCAAGACTCCTGCCTCACTCATGACCAGCTAGTGTCCTCACCATGGCTGGGAGGTCTCACCTGTCTGGTCCTCTGCTCGCACACTCCACCCCTTCTCAGCTTCCGTGGCTGCTTTACCTCTCATATCCCTGAGGCTCCATCTGACCTTGGGGCCACTCCATGTGCTTTTGGCCCTGTGACATCTGCAGCTTACTCCTCCAGGTCTCTCGTCAGCTGTCACTGCCTCTGGGTAGCTTCCTATTGAAAGCTGCAGCAGCTTCTGCCAGTTCCCTGGCAGTTCATTTCTCCCTTCCAAGATTTATTTTCCCATGAAGGTTTTCACCATCTAACATATCGTGTGTTACATTACTTTGGCCATTGTCTGTCTTCTCATAATGTAAGCCCACGAGGGTGAGGATTTTTGTTTGTTTTCAGTAATTCTTTAGTACCTGAAATAGCACCTGGCATGCAGCAGGCACTCAGTAATAGTGCTGAATGAATGCGAGACCCTCAGCATGGTGTGGGGTCCCTCACTCCTCATCTCGTATGACCCTCCTCCCCTTCCACAGGATGCTCCGGAAAGACAAGGAGGAGGCAGAGGCCATCAAACACGCCAAGGCCCTTGAGGAGGAGAAAGCCATGTACTCGGTGAGGGCTGGGCCAGGGTGGCAGGGTAGGTGTGCCCCTCATGGAAGGCACACCCTCACCAGCCTGGTACCCGCCCTGTTCCAGGGCCGTCGCTCCCGGCGCCAGCGGAGGGAGTTCCGGGAGAAGCGACTGAGGGGCCGCAAGATCAGCCCACCCAGGTAGAGTGGGTTCGGCCCTGTGCTCCTGCCCCGCCGGCATCAGTCTCTCAGGGCTCAGGAGTTGGGGGCCGGGGCTCAGGAAGACTTCGGGGGCAAGCTTTCGGCCTGTGGGGAGAGTCCTAGTGGGGCCGTGAATAGGGAAGGTTTCGGTAGGAATAGTCATGAGGGTTGTGTGGACACCCTGCCCTGCCAGCCATTTCCCTCACCCTGCTAGACTCAGGGCTCTTGCCGCACACCTTGGGAGTCAGTAGGGAGGTGGCATGAGGTGGCTGGGAGAGTTGGGGACATAGTCGAGGGACACGGGCCTGGCGCCGACTGTCGGACCTGGTTCTGCAGCTCAGCTGCTTTGTCACTATCTCAGGTTGGGCAGGTGACTTCCTCTCTCAAGCTCGTTTCCTCTTTTGGAAAAGGGGCACCGCCACCTGGGAGAGGGGGCTACACCTGTGCCTACATTGAGGTCTTGGGCAGGTTTGGATGAGGTGGTCTGGCTTGGTGCAGAGAGCCAGCCTGGGTCAGGTGGTCTCTGGGCCAACCTGCTGCAGCCTCTTAGGCCTGCTAGCCCCATGCAGACCCCTGCCTCTGCCACGTCTCCTTTGTTCAGGGGAGGTAATTGAGGGTTGCTGTGAGCTTAAGCGGTTTGGTGTGGGGTTTGAAAAATGTACATTCAGAGTGGAACTGATTCTTGCTATTGTCACCGTAGAGGTGCAGGTCAGTGTGGTGTATAAAAGCTTGGGCTTGGGACCACGTGGCCTGGGTTGGAGTCTGCGCTCCTTCATTTACGAGCTGTGTGACCTTGGGCAAGTGACTTCACCTTTCTGGGCCTGTTTCCTCAGCTGTGAAGTGTGAATAATCACAGCACCCACATCAGAGAGTTGTTAGGAATAGCTGTTAGTTCACTTAGTGCTGGCACACAGTGTGCGCAAGACGTCTTAGCGCTGCTAGTTTTATTGTCATCATTAGTGAGCCAGAACCCCGCAGAACCAGGGACTTGTGGGACCAGGGGCGCTTCTCTTCTGGGGTCTGAAGGCCAGCCGGATTGAAGCTGCTGAAGTCCTTGTTGCTCAGGATCAGAATGGGTCTGGGACATTGTGGGTTGGGGCTGAGATTCAGGCTTTGGAGAGATTTGAGGTTGGGTAGGAGGAGGGATCAAGACAGGGCCTGTAATCTGGCCAGCAGCTCCTGTGTTGCCTGGCCTTGGGTGCCCAGGTTGGGGGCTGGCCTTAAATCCGTGCACACTAATCCCACGCCCCTATGTGTCCCCCTCGTTCTCTCCATAGCTATGCCCGGCGAGACAGCCCTACCTACGACCCCTATAAGCGGTGAGTTCCCGGGGCCCAGTTGTCTTCCTGATGGAGGGACGAGTGGTGAGGGGTGGGGCACCCACCCTGTAGGCTGCCCTGAGATCACAGACTGGGTGGTATTTTCTGGGAGTCTTAGCGCCTTGTGTTGGCTTTGAGTCTGAATTATTTTTGGTTTTCCAGAATGTTAGCCTGCTTTCACAATTTCTTTTCCTTTTAAATGTGAACCTTTAAAGTTTTCTGATTTAAACATAGTGTAGTGTTGTGTCGAAAATGATCAAACATGGTAGAAAGACCTGACTTAGAAATCAAATCTCTTTAATCTGAACTCCCAAAAGTAACCAGTGAGAAATAACAGGCACAGAATAGCCTGGTTGAGCACGTGTGTCTCCTGGATGTGGGGGTGATGGGAGTTGTGGCTTTGAAGATGAACAGACCTCAGTCTGACCCCAGTTCCCTTTTCAGAATAGGGTGGGAGGGACCTGCCCTCAGGGCTCTTGGGAGGATGGGTGAGATAAGGCATGAACCCCTTTTGGTGAGAGGTCTGGCCCAGATAAGTGCTCAATCCATGGCTGCTGTGAGGAATATCGCATACGTGCTTTCATGAGAATGGAACTGTATCACATTTAATGCTTTGGAACTTGCTCCCTTCCGACTTGACATCTACATTGGGGAAGTCATTCCCTGCTGCATTATGGATCTGCTCTTCCGTTTTAATAGTCATGTAAAATCAGTACGGTTTTCTGTCACTCCCTTTCCTGGTTGTTTTGAGAAGGCTCCGTGGTCATGAATCACATTCTTGCGTAGCTGGTGTCTTTCTGCCTCCTGGCTCTGTTCATGTGTGTTGGCTGTCCCATGTCGCTCTGTAGTGGGTCTCGTTAGCTGGTGAACAGGCTCGAGGAGCCTGGCAGTTAAGTCCCCTGCTCCCTGCTCTGTAGGTCGCCTTCGGAATCCAGCTCCGAATCCCGCTCCCGCTCCCGCTCCCCAACCCCGGGCCGAGAGGAGAAGATCACATTCATCACCAGTTTTGGGGGCAGTGATGAGGAGGCAGCTGCGGCCGCAGCTGCAGCAGCTGCATCAGGGGCCGCCACAGGGAAGCCCCCCGCGCCCCCCCAGCCCGGCGGCCCCGCACCGGGACGTAATGCCAGCGCCCGGTCGGTAACGCTCACGCTGCCTGCCCTACACCCCAGCCACCGTTGGGGGGGACGCGGGGCAGTGGGGGGCCTGGCCCAGGCTGGTGCTGACTGGCTCTCCGTGCCCCACCTGCAGCCGCC